TATCTTTTGCATAGTTTTTTCTCTATTGACCTATGACTTTATGAATTAGTACAGCAATTCACCTTTGACATTGGTAGAAAGTGTTTTTTCCAGATTTTATACTTAAAATTTTTTGCATATGATTATATATGTGACAGATTACATATTATTGTGGCAGATTTTTTTTTTTTTGGTACCTGGGATTGAACTCGGGACCTTGCATTTGTGAGGCAGACGGTGGAACCACTGAGCTAAATCCCTGGCCTATGGCAGATATTTTAAAAAGAGAGAAATATAAGGAAGATAAAAATCACTTTTAAATACTACCACTCAGATTTAAAACATTGGGAGAATTCCTTCTACATTTATATATATTTAACATATTACTAGGATATAAATGTGTGTGTGTATTATAACTTTTCATTTAAGAGTATATCACAGGAATTTTCCTCTTATTAAGTATTCTAAATGCATCTTGCACTCTCTCAGGAATCAGAGAAAAGTCATGGACACACTTCCCAGAAAAAAAATACAACAACACGAAAAGCACCTCTACAGAGAAGCTGATGCATCATTTCAGTAGATTCTCAGGTTCACCCATAGATTTCAGATTAAGAACTCTGGGTGATGGGGTGGGGGTGTAGCTCAGTGGTAGAGCAATTGCTTGCATGCATGAGGCCCCGGGTCTGATTTCCATGACAGAAGAAGAAGGAAGAGAAGGAGGAGAAAGAGGCTCTATTGTAAAACACGATAATTAGTGTTCTTCATAGCAGTCTCGTGTATTAATGCACTCTAATTTATATAACTATAAATTGAATTTAGGAGTACAAGCTTTGGAATCCAAAAGCTTGTGCACAGCCTGTGGTTCTTTCCCTACCGGGAGTACTTTAGCAAACTTCTAATTAAGCCTAATATAAAGATTACATGAGATGATCTATATAAAGTCTTAGAAGATTTTCTAGTACTGTATGTAGTAAGTGCTCAAGCTAGTGCTTAAAAAAAAAATTCCCTCATTGTTTCTTTAGCATAAACACCTGGACATAGAACTTACTGAATCAAAAGGGATACAATTCTTAGGATGGCTGTCATTTGCTACCAATTTTCCTTCCAGAAAGGGAAAATTGACAAGATGAGTATGGGGTTGATCACAGCACATCCTTGTCACTGTAACATAATATTACCTATTTGACTCACTTCCAGGACCAAAAAACAAATGCCATCTAATTGCTTCTATTAAATTTATTTGGTTACTAGTATTTTTTAATTTTATAAATATGCTGCTTGTATTCCTTTTTTGTGATCTTATTTCTATTCATATCATTTGCATTTTTCCTATTGTGTTGTTTGTTCTTATAAATATGTAAAGCTACTTTACAAATTAATGATACTAGCTCTTGATTTTATATACACCACAAATATTTTTCTCATGTGATTTACTGTTAATTTTTATTTATTTTTATTTATTTATTTATTTTTTGGTATCAGGGATCGAACTTGTGAACCTATACTTGCTAGGCAGGTGGCAGCACCACTGAGCTAAATCCCCGGCCCCTACTGTTAATTTTTAAATTGTTTTTACTATCCCGAAACTAAGATGTTTAGCCATATCCATTGTGCTTCCCATTGTGATTTCTCCTATTACTTCTTAGCTTAGAAAGACAGTCCTACTCAAAGATGAGATAAGTACTTGCCAGTATTTTTCTCCACTATTTGGTTGTATGGCTACTATTATTATAGTTAACCCTTCCGTTTGCCTGAAATCTGTTTTGGCATATGCTATGTAGTAAAACTAAATTTATTTCCCCCAAGTAGGTATCATTTTCTGAGTGTTATGTTATCATCTCTACCTTCTAAATATGCTTTTCCCTCTGAGTGGACCAGACCTTCTTCGGGGCCGGCAAAAGTAAATGAAGGCAGTGTAGGAAATGAAATGACCCGAGCCAGTCTACCAGTGTCATCACACCTGAAGAATGAGGCTTCTTCCGCATAGGGAGGAGATTGGAAAGACAGGAGGAGGCGAAACACCTGCTTTCTTTACAGTGACAACGTCAGCAGGAGAGATAGCAGGTCTGTGGTCCAAGAAGCCCCCTGAGGTTCAGCACAATCTTGGTTTACAATCCAACCCCATCCCTTTCTGTCTTCAGTCTTTGCCCATTGCACCAATTACCCTCCAAGTTCCTTCCCAAACCCAGAGGAACTGGTTGGATTAGTGGATAAGTTGTCTGTTTGTAATGAGCACTTACTTAATTTGATTGTGGATTTTAGTACCTTTGGCACAAGGAGGCATTCTGAAGCAAATAGACTTACAGCCTACACAGTTGAGCTTCAGCTGGATCCCCTGCTATATGTGTTCTTGGTTTATCTCGTCCTGTAGTTTTAAGAATGTAAAAGCCAGCTAGGTGCAGTGGCCCATGTCTATAATCCTAGCACTCTGGGAGGCTGAGGCAGGAAGATCAAGTCCCATCTGGACAACTTAATGAGACCCTGTCTCAAAAAGTGAGTAAGTAAATAAATAAATAGGATGGGATATAAAACAGTGTGAAGGTCCTGGGTTTAATCCCCAGGGATGCAAAAAAGGCAATCCTGTGTTATTCAGCTTTCTGTCATCATAACAAAATACCTAAGATAATCAACTTATACATAGAAAAGGGTTATAGGTTTATTTTGGCTCACAGTTTTGGGGGTTCCACTCTGGCTGATTGGCCTCATTGCTTTGGGGCCTGTGGTGAGGCAGCATGTGATGGTGGGAACACATGGTAGAACAGACTGCTGACCTCAGTGCCTAGGGTTTGAAAGAGAGCGAGGAGAGGGCTGCACCCCCCCCCCCACCAACATTTCATGACTTCCCAATAGTGCCACCCCAGGGACCACACTTTAACATACAAGCCTCTGGGGGACATTGAAGAACCACACTGTGGCGAGGCTCTCCGTGCTTCCTCTCATCGTGTCTGTTTCTCCACATGCACCCTCTGGATGCATCCAACATTTCGGTGGCATGTTATGCTCTGTATCTGAACATCTTTTTTTTTTTTTTTTTTACCTATATAAGCCTAGATGAGAACTCAGGATATATTTGATCACAACCTACTTCCTTCAAAGCACTACAGATGTTACTACATTTTCCTCCTGGAAGTTAGTGTTAGTTATTTTCCTAAATGTTTGCAGAATCTCTGCCTGCATAGAATTTATAGTCTATGGAGAAAAAATAAATCATTTATGATTAAGAGTGCAATATGGGACAACTTTAGTCTTAATTTTCATATTCTCTGCTGTTTTCATGATCTTTGAAGAGAGGAAAATGCAAACATTTGGGCTCTGCCCATCACTAGGTGATGGAAGTCACCCTATCTCCTCTGTATCAGGGAAGGGCACAGCGATAAGTCCCTGGGAAGAAGAATTCAGTCAATCTTGGCTCCACAAAAGAGTAACCCTTGGGCCGGGGATTTAGCTCAGTGGTTTCGCCACCTGCTGCGCAAGCGCAAGGACCTGAGTTCAATCCCTGGTACCAAAAAACAAAAACAAAAAAAGAGTAACCCTGGACCAGCACTGAGCCCAGAATGCATATATTGATTGGCTGGGCAAAAGGGTTATGGTCACTCAAGAGCTCACAGCCTCTTCAAGAGGCACCACCACCTTGGTATGCAGAGTTCCTCTCCTACTACATGCATAGAGTGACTGGCTTAAGGTGGCTGAGTCCCTGATCTTAAGAACTGAATTTGATTTGTTTTGGGATAAGCCTGTCTGAAGCAGGGAATCTCACCACTTCATTTCTCTTCAGTCCTTTAATCCCAATGCCAGGACTTTACTCACAACACTTCATAAATCTGTAGCCACCAAAATAATCTTCTCCCCACCTGTCAATAATTTCCAAAACACATTTTTCATGAGGACTTTTCCTAGCTGAGTGTTTCACAGCCTTTTAAGGATGGAGCACCATGCACATTCAGCCAGGTACTTGTGGGTTTGGTTGACAAAGCTGAGATGTCCTTGTGCCTCTGATTCTTCTTTTGTAAAAATCAAGCTTGTTACAGTAGGATAATTATGGCTGACACAACCGAATATTTCAAAATAGGTAGCACAGATTTGATTGTTTCCAACAAAAAGAAATGAAAACTGTATCAGGTGATAGATATGGTGATTGCTTTGATGTGATCATTAGCATTGTGTCCATACATTTAATATCACACTGTACTCCATAAATATCTACATCTACTCTGTGTCTATTAAAAATAAATTTTTTAAAATGTAGAAATAGTGTCTATCTCACGGCTTTGCTGTGAGAAATAATTCACACGCGCTTGCATAGTACCTGGCCCTAAGAATACTGACATCATCATTACTTTCTACTTCAAGATTGAACATAAAAGCCATAAAAAAATTGTTTGCAAATTCAAGCCACATATTGTGTCATGCCGCTAGAAAATCGCTCATATTAAGTCAGGCTCCTTGTTGCTTAGCGCTGCAGGCTATTTGGACTGTTTGGGTACTGGGTTGTGTGTGTGTGTGTGTGTGTGTGTGTGTGTGTGTGTGTGTGTGTGTAAAAGCTTGGGTTCCCCCCTCCCCCAGTTTATGTCCCCTGCTCCCCGATTTCCTTATCAAAGAGTCAGAATTCTGCTGAGCTGTTGCACTACAGGGTGACCGGAGATAACAATTGTGTACTGTCTGCTTTAAAAAGCTAGGAGAAAGCATTTTGAACGTTTTCATCATAAAGAAATGATAAACGTTTGAGGATGTAGATGTGTTTAACTTGATTTGAACGTGACACCAAGTATACACGTATGGAAACATCACCGGGCACTCCATTAATATGTACAGTCATTATGTTTTTATGTATGAGTTAGGAACGTTTATTTAAAATATTTTAAAAATAGAAAAAGAAAAGGATTCTGAGCCCATCCGAGAAGGAGGTCGGCAGCCAGCCAGGCCGGGTTTCTTCTCCTCGTCCTTTGTCAGGGCTTTGTTCCGCCCATGGCCAACTCCGGGGGAGCCACTTAGTGGCGATTAAAGGCGGGCTGGGGGCGGGGCGGGGCTCGGCGGCCCTAGGGGCTGCGCTGTCTCCGCGCCACCCAGCGCGGCTGCGGGACCGAGGACAGGGGACGCGGCCGCACCGACGTCAGCGGCGCAGCCGGCGGGAGCCCAGGCTCGGAGCCGAGCCCGCGGCGGCGCGGACCGACGGACGGACAGACGCGCGGACAGCTGCGCTTGCAACCTGCGGCCTCCGCGGACGGCGCCATGGACGGCCCGGACAACGCCACCCTGCTGCTGCTCCACGCTCTCCTGCCCGATAACTCCACGCAGTCGCCCGGCGCCAGCAGCCCGAGCGCCGGCGCGCACCTCCCGCCGGCCGCCGCCTCCAGCGCGGGTCCCAGCGCCGCGCTCGGCCTGGCGCCCCCGACCCCCGGCGGCTTCGCGGGGAGCCGGGGCGCGTCGCCCTTCTCCCGGGCCTGGGCGCCCCACGAGCCCCCGTTCTGGGACTCGCCGCTGAACCACGGGCTGAACGTGTTCGTGGGCGCTGCCCTGTGTATCACCATGCTCGGCCTGGGCTGCACGGTGGACGTGAACCACTTCGGGGCGCACGTCCGCCGCCCGGTGGGCGCGCTGCTCGCCGCGCTCTGCCAGTTCGGCCTCCTGCCGCTGCTGGCCTTCCTGCTGGCCCTCGCCTTCAAGCTGGACGAGGTGGCCTCGGTGGCCGTGCTCCTGTGCGGGTGCTGTCCCGGCGGAAACCTCTCCAACCTCATGTCCCTGCTGGTGGACGGCGACATGAACCTCAGGTACCGCGCCAGGCGCGCTGACCGCCGTGGGCGCCGAGGGAAGGGGAGGGAAGCGCAGGGGCAGGGATGAGGAGAAGGGGAGGAAACAAGAACGCTAGGCCTCCAGACGGCGGGATGGACGGGAAGCGCTTGTGTGGCAGGGGACGGGACTGTCTGAGGCAGAGGGGCCCGAGTTCACTCCCGCACGGGCCCTTCACCGCCGTCACTCCCTCCCTCCCGGAGGGGCGGGCTGGCTGTAGGCCCTGGTCTTGGGCCACGGACAGACAAAAAGAAGGGGGGAGTCTGGAGCTAGGACTGCCGGAAATGTAAAAGCAAATTAGGGCTATTGGCCCAATAAAGAAAGTAATCTCATATAGAGTGCAACATAATCGAGTTTGATACAACAAGTGGCAACCAGAAGCTTTTCCACGTCTAACATTGCAGGGTTCTTTGGAAGATTAACAGGAAAAGAAAAATGCCCCCTGTCTTCAGAATCTTCCAGACTCAATTGGCTTTATAAAGCCCAGGGCATCAGCCCTGAATGTTTGTTGTTTCTGCCTCTGGCTCATTTTTCCATTGGACTTAGGCTCTCCTTTCTTGGCCCTCTCCTGTAATGAAGTAGATTCTCCCCAGACTTCAAGCCAGAGGGATTCTGAGGCTCCCCATGCCCCTGTACCCAACATGGAGGAGAAGGTCGGCCAGCTTTGACTCAAAGCCCGTTCTGAATCTGCTCCTTCTTTTCTGCAGCATCATCATGACCATCTCCTCCACACTTCTGGCCCTGGTCTTGATGCCCCTGTGCCTGTGGATCTACAGCCGGGCCTGGATCGACACCCCTCTGGTGCAGTTACTTCCTCTGGGGGCAGTGACCCTGACCCTCTGCAGCACTCTCATCCCCATCGGGCTGGGCGTCTTCATCCGCTACAAATACAATCGTGTGGCCGACTACATCGTGAAGGTATGGTCCCCTTCCCTTCCATATCACCTAGAGGTCCTTGGTTACTGCCCTGGACTGAAAGGCTAGGAAGTTAGGAAAGAAGGGAAAGGAAGAAAAGAACTTAGCTACACTTCCGTGGGTGAATTTTAAGTTTATGCAACAAAGATAATTTCTACCTTTTGGAATTCCTAGAAGGATAGATCTAATTGTGACATAGTTTAATTTAAAACAGTATTAGCAATCTGTCAGTACTCAGGGAGGAAACAGGTCATGGGGAGGGAGAAATGACCAAGTCATCAAATGGTAATGTTTTCCACTGTGTATTATTATCAGAAATTGAAATAGATTAAACAAAATTATCTTACAGAATTTTAGAAATGCATTACTATATTTTCAAAAGTGGAATTCTAATTCTGAGAAATTTAGTAGTAGAATCCTTTAAAAATATTTTCTTTTGTTTGCAGGCTGAGGACTGCACCCAGGGCCTTAGCAAATGCTAGGCAGGTGCATTACTAGTGAGCCACACCCCAAGCCTGTTTCATTAATTAAAAAAAAAAACAAGTTGACACTAGTTAGACTAAAAGTAATTGAAAAGTTATACTGTGGTAATTGAGTAGAGTACACAAAATATTGGCTTGAAAGCATAAAATAAAATTGGGTCCTGGATAATATAGATTATATTGTCATTACTCCATTTCTATGTTTCTTTTTCCTTCCTTATTTCATTACTTTATATGGTTTCTAAAAATACTGAAATAATAAGGGATTTCTATTACTCATGTACTATTTCAGTATTGTTTTATTTTTTTAAAAACATGGTTTTCTTGGTAGCAGTAGAGATTTTGTAATAGTTGACTGGAGAAAAAATAAAATATTTGTAAGTTAAATTTTTCTGAAAACTCAAAAATGTTGAGAAAGTATAAACCATGAACAGGATGCTACCTTAGGAAGTTAGTCAAATAAAATACATAATTACTGTAAAATGCAGAGGCGAGTTCCTTTAGATGAATGAGAAAAAGAGCCATTCCAGTGTTTCAATTATATAGATTTAAGATACAGTCTTTTGTATTTCACTTATTATTTATTTTCTAATCTGATCATATGGAGGAGCCAACTTTATGAATATGAAAAATAGAGGGGTTTTTTTCTGGACACAAGTCTAAATCATAACAGAAATCTTGTTCCACATTAGACATGTGTATGTGAATATAATAAATATATGTGAGTGTGTAAATGCACGTATTTTATGTACTATACCCATAATCTTGAGATGCATGAAGAACTTAAGTTTAATCATTAATGCAATGATATTTACTTTAAAAATTTTAAAAGAAAGTCAATCAAATGAGGTATTTATACAGAAGAAATATAAAAAAAGAAGAAATATATTTAAATAATTGTCCAACAAGATTGGTTACCTTGCATCTAAGGTGAGCCTATCTGTATTCTTTAATGAGCACACTATTAAGACATAGTTTATATAATTGTTATACTTTTGCAAGCACTTTAAAATGAGCACACAATCTCAATGCTAGCCCTAATTATTTAAAATAGTTTGGAACTTTGAAGTCATTATTTTCAAAATGAAAAACCAGGGCTGGGGATTTAGCTCAGTGGTTCTGCTGCCTGCCTCACAAGCGCAAGGTCCTGAGTTCGATCCCTGGTACCAAAAAGAAAAGAAAAACCTAATGTCTTGTCAATCCTTTCAATGTGATATACTTTGCAACTTAATATAAATACAGGTTTTTAATTGTAATTATCCATATGTAATATGTGAACCTATATAGCAACTATTTCAGTATAAAATTCTAACTAATTTTTTAAGAACATAAAGTATATGGCAATTTCACAGACTCCAAAAATGTTCCCTTCCAAATATACAGAGAAGCAGGGACAATACTTAGTTTCTCTCTGGATCTTCACTCCACCCATAATAAAAAATGAGTTAACTGTCAATCTGAAGAATCCTTATGTGTCTGCCGTATTAATTATGTATCCTGTTTTATTTGTGTTTTTTTTTGTACCGGGAATCGAACTCGGGACCTTGCGCTTGCAAGGCAGGCACCAGAACCACTGAGCTAAATCCCCAGCCCAACAGCCTGTTTTATTTGAATGAGTGAAATGTTATCAGTCAGAAAGTCAAGGTGACACGTTTTACTATATCTGAACCCAGCTACTCCAGTAATTCCTAAGCATCACAGAGACTTACAGATCGGAGGTTTCTTCTGAACAAATGAAAAAGAGAGGAGTTGCAAAACTGCAAAGAATTCCTCAACTCTTACATTTACTTTTTTTCTTTCAAAATCTAAATTGATAGTTATTTCAACATTGGTAACAATCCTTTGAGATTTTTAAGGTTAAAAATGTTATATTCTAAGTGAATTTTTATAAATTTTAATGTGTTTCATGTGTAAAATGAGAATTAATTTCACATGGAAAGCGTAATGTTCTGTTTGTTCAGTATACATGTCCATTCTCTACTCCACTAGACCATATCTGGGGTATTTTTACCTGCGCTCAATTTTATCTGCTCTGTTTTAGGAGATAAACTAAAAGTACAATCAGAACAGTCAGGACACCACAATAAAGTTATGTGGTAACAGCTGAGAGGCTGGGGACAGTCTACCTGGAGAAGAGTAACAATCCTTGATAACTGCTTTATAAATTTTCAAAGTGCTATTTTTCAAAAGTAGACTGGTCTTATGTTGCTCTTAGAGACCTAACCAGGGAAATAGAAGTTACAGAGGCAAATTATCACTTGACCTGAGGACAGGCCTCCAAACACTTATAGCTGTCTTGATGTGGCTCTGGATGCCTCCTGAGGGTGTGACCATCCCTCTTGGGAAGCAGATGTGAGATCTCACTTTGTGTGGGGGGAGGTCAGACTGATGGGTATCTTCTTCCAAGCCTAGGTTCCTCTTTGGCAAACTCATTGCTGATGGCTTGTCTGTTTTCTTTCTTTTTTAAAAAATTAATTTTATTGGTACATTTTAGGTGTACAATATAATGACATTCATCATTGGAAATTTGCACCTTTACATAGTCTCTCTTGGTTCTTATTTTCCCCCCTTCCCCTGCCCTCCCTTCAACCCCTCCATCCGTCCCTCTTTACAAAGACTTTGTTTCCATTTTTTCATTTTCTCATATTCCATTCCCTGCTTTCCTTTCCCTTATCCCTTCCACTTCCCCTTCCCCTTTGCCCCTTTTCTTCCTATTTCACAGTCTCCGTTTTCTATTACTAGGTTTCCCTGTGGTCTCTGCTAGTGACTCTGGTGGTCCTTTTCATACTGACTGGCACCATGTTAGGACCTGAACTGCTGGCAAGTATCCCCGCCGCTGTTTATGTGGTTGCCATTTTTATGCCTTTGGCAGGCTATGCCTCAGGCTATGGTTTAGCTACTCTCTTCCACCTCCCACCCAACTGCAAGAGGACTGTGTGCCTGGAAACGGGCAGTCAGAACGTGCAGCTCTGCACCGCCATCCTAAAACTGGCCTTCCCGCCTCGCTTCATAGGAAGCATGTACATGTTTCCCTTGCTTTATGCTCTTTTCCAGTCTGCGGAAGCAGGTATTTTTGTTTTAATATATAAAATGTATGGAAGTGAAACATTGCACAAGCGAGATCCTCTAGATGAAGATGAAGATACAGATATTTCTTATAAGAAGCTAAAAGAAGAGGAAATGGCAGACACCTCCTATGGCACAGTGAAAACTGATAATTTAATAATGATGGAAACCACCCAGACTTCTCTGTAAACGTGGAGATACACAGGAGCTTCTATCTTGCTGAAATATTAATTCATACTTATGGCCTGTGGTGGTGTATATGGTTTACATAACGGATAACAGTTGGTTTGCTTCACATGTAACACTTTTGATCTTTCCATTGTAAAGTTGCACTGGTGTAGTAACCAAGTGTTTTCATAGATTACAAATCAATGTCTTAGTATAACTTGCACCTGCATCTGCTAAAGTGAAGCTCCCTCTGGTTCAGTATGCTTTTTGGGTTTTGCCATTACCAATTTCTACGACTGCTTCACAAATAGAAACTACTGTATTAGAAAACAGGGTCTGGAAATGTAGTTTCAGTGCACTGTCTTATTTGAGTAAAGACAAGCTATCTGTAAAACATAATTGAGTTTACTGTAAAACAGAAGTGTGCTCTCTCAACATGTAAACACTTGATAACGTTGAATTTTGACCTGTACTCAGAAAAATCCCAAACAGGTCAACGACACAGTGAAATATAGTATTTGTCAACCCAGTAACAAATTACATAAAAAAAATTAATGTATTTGATTACTTGATCTGAGATGTTTATTGCAGATGAACCGCCAGCATTTTCCCAGTGGATAAGGTGATTTCTTTGCAAAATTGGTCTTCTGCATTTATGTAAACACATTTGTAAACAAGTCAGTTTATCTCTGGAGGAATAGGTTTGGTTAGGAAATTGGGTCGAACTAGCATTTACCTAGGAAGAGCGAACTGGTGCCTCCTGGTGACCATTGATGGGGTGGGTCCAGGGGAGAAAGCAATTAGCCTACAAGTGAGGGCCCTGGCCTTCCCCTGGTGTTTACTGAAAGGGTCAGCGGGCGGACGCCTCTGAGCAGCTCTGAGCAAGCTGAACCCTAACCGGAGATACTGGGTAGTGGACCCCGAGCAATTTGCAAAGCTGGGCCTTTTGCCCACCAGCCTCGCTCCCAGCCTCGCTCACCCCTTCGCGCAGCGCAGACACCTGGAGCCCCCGGGCTGCGAAGACCGCGTGGCCCAGCTGAAGCCGCTTCCCACTCTCGCCGGCCTCTCCTCACGTCGGCGCCTTCACGTACAAATCGGGGCTTAACTCGCAGAGAAAGGCCTCCACGAGGGTTGTCTGTGCCCACCTTCGCCGTGGGGGATTTCTGCGCGGGGCTCGGGGACGCGGGCGCGAGAGGCGGAGGGAGCGGCCCAGGCCTCGCTTCGCCAGGCCGCCCCGGGAGCCGCCTATTTAGGGCGCGGCTGCGGGAGCGAGTAGTGGGGCTGCGTGGATGGCTGCCGTGGGGGATGAAGTGCTGGGCGCCATCATGTACCCGGCGTGCGCCCCCTACTCGTACCCCTTTCCCTATCCGCCGGCCGCCAAGGGCGCCGAGGGCTGGCGGCTCCGCAGCGGGGGCCACCCTCCTGCCTCGTCCTCCTCCGCGGCAGGGGCGGCCTCGTCCTTCCCGGGCCACGGGCAGCTGACGGCCGCCGAGTACTTCGACAGCTACCAGCGGGCGCAGCTGCTGGCGCTCCTGTCGCACGCGAGCCCCAGCTTCGGGCCGCGCCCCCGCAAGCCCACCTGCCGCGACGTGGGGGTGCAGGTGAATCCGCGGCGCGACGCCTCGGTGCAGTGCGCGCTCGGGCGGCAGACGCTGCCGCGCAGGGCCCGCGAGCCCGGGACCCCGGCCGCTCCCGGTGCGGCCTCCCCGGAGCAGGGCAGCTCCCCGGCCGGCGCCCCGCGGCCTGCGCGCTTCCCGCGCTCCCTTGCCGTGTACTCGCCGGTGGTCTCCCGCTGCCTCACCGCCTTCCAGGAGGAGGCCCCGGGGGGCGCGCGGGGGCCCGGGGCGCCGGAGGAGGGCGAAGGCATGGGCACGGGCGCGGCGAGGAAGGAATCCCCGCCGCCGCGGGCCAGGGAGGAGGCGCAGGAGGAGGACGGGGCCCGACCGCCGTCGCAGGAGGCTCGAGCCGACGAAGCGGACCAGCAGCTCACGCCGCGGAGCCCCGAGCAGCTCCCGGCGGTGGGTAGGGCTGGGGACGCTGGGGACGCCGCCGCCACGCGGGAGAAGTCGCCGCCGAGCGCCGAGCCGGGCAAGGAGCGCCTGCGCTTCCAGGTGAGACCCGGGCGCCGGGAGCCCGAGGGTGGGGAGGCCACGCTGCCTCAAGTGCTAGCCCGCAGTGTGCGATCTGGCAGCCGCCAACTGAGGCGCGTGGGTGCATTGTCCGCTGTGGACCACACAGATGATCCAAGAACATGGGAAGGTGAACTTGCTGGAGGGACTGTCAATTCCCCAGGACCCCAGTACCATTTCCTCATCAAATATGGCAGAGCCCGTGACAGCCAGCTCCTGTGGGCCTAAGATGCTGTCCTCAGATTCTTACCTGCTTATCTCACAGCAAGTCTGCCGAAAGCTAGAGCTTCCAGTGCCTCCTCTAGGACTTGCCTTGCTTTTCAAAAGCTCCCCACTCCGAAATCCAGGACTGCTGAAGCCTTTGGGCTGTCCTGGGTGGCTACCTGAGAGGAGCCCTACAGGGCTGCAGTACTGACGACAGCTGTAACCCGGGGAAATAGCAAGGCCAAGAGGTAGTAAAGGAGTCCTGTGTGGCGTTTTCCACAGTCACCCCAGGTCTGCGTGGGTTTGGGAGGGCAAGAAGCTGAGGTGGTCACTCTCAACTAGGGACCCTGCTGTGCACAGCTGGGTGTGATCTTAGGCAAGCCTTAAGCTTGGCCTTTATAGTATTTATTCACCTGTGAAATCCCATTAAGTGCTCTCTAAAGTCCCTACTAGTTCTCAAGGCCTACTTCTGAAAACTTCACAGCTTGTTTCTCACTGGGAAGGAAGAAGGGAAGCTTGAGAATAAGGTAATATTCCCGTAGTTCATATTAAATGTGCCATGTTTAGAGATCGTGACCTTGCTGTTAAATGGAAACTTAATTGGTGTAGAGAACTTGGATCATCTCCTCAAAGCATCTCAGCTGCAGAGTCTCCTCCTCTTCAGCTTGCCTTCATCTGTGCATGTTCTAGGAGCAGACTTTCTCCTACGGAGAAAAGCCCTACCTGAAGAATCCCCAGCTTCTAAGAACCCTGGATGTCTGGTTTTTCCCTTGCCTGGCTGAGCTCGAAAACACTGACTTGACACCTAGCCTTATGAATAAAATTAGTCAGACATTTAGCTGTTTTGGGCCCATTCCTTGCTTAAGGGATTGACTGAGCCATTAGCTTACTTAGTGACTCTATTATACAGGTTTACCCAAATCTGACCTTATTTCCCTTTGTTGTCTGGAATAAAGTTGCCAATTCTAAGCAGCAAAATGAAGGTGTCTTGTTGGGTAACTTCTGGCATCCTATCATTCAGTTCTTAGAGCAGAAATATGGTTATTATCACTGCAAGGACTGCAACATCCGCTGGGAGAGTGCGTATGTGTGGTGTGTACAGGGCACGAACAAGGTAAGAAACACCATATAACTGGCATCCTTCTGTCAAAGTGTTGTGCTTTTGCTTTAAGTTTATTCTTTCTCATCACAGGTTTACTTCAAACAGTTTTGCAGAACTTGTCAGAAGTCTTACAACCCTTACCGAGTGGAGGATATCACCTGTCAAGTAAATTAAATGTTTGCATTTTGTGTCTCACTTGGGTAAAGGAAGAGGGTTTTTAGTACACTTTCTTGAATATATTTCCTAAAAGAATCTAGTTTCCCAATGATCTCCGGTTTTCACTGCTTTTTGCTAGGAGTTGTAGGAATTGTGCTCCAGTGTGAAATAGTGTGTAGATGGTAATAGCTTCTTTTTGCCCTTGGTCAAAACTTTTGAAGCGGTATGGGAGAAAGCTTGCCTTATCTGTTAGTCAATAAGAGGAAGCAAACTGAAAAACAGGATACTGTTCTAACTAAAGGTGGTAAATGTTGGCTACTTCATCCAAGTGCTTCTTAGGAAGCACTTACTCAAGTTAAATTATTTAGTATAAGCACAGGAATTAAAAGTTTCAGCCTTGCCCGAGAGCTCACAAAGGAAGTTTAAGATCATTCAAAGGTGCTCCGCTTTATGGGGTTAACTAAATAACATGGCTTGCTTACTCTTAACACCTTACTCTTAGTGCTGTGCTAAGGCATTTAGATATTTAAGAAGAAAGAAATTACTGAATTTGCCTGTTTTCACACAGCTGACGAGCCTGAATTGCCACCAGAGACACTTATCAGTGCTCTTCAATCTTGGGTATTGAAAGCATTAACACCCTAGGGTGTTAGAGAAACTAAATATGGAAAACCATTCAGGATCTTAGGTCGGGCACCCTTTCTAAAATATTCCTTAATCTATTCTTGGCTTTCATTGACCAGTTCATCCCCTACTTGTTTGTTTTCTACTCTTCCACGTCCTTCAAGTGCAGGAAAAGATCTTTTTCTTAGAAAGTTACATAAGAAACTTCACAGTGAGAATTGAATCCACTACAGTATGGCTACACACTATTCCTAAACCTATCATTGCTGGGCTGGGGTGTAGACAAGATTAGCACAGGACTTTGCTTAGCATGCATTCACTAGTATTTGAATGGACTAGAAATATCAGTGTGAAGTCCTAGCAAGTTGCTGAGTTTCTTTTGTATGTACTTCTTGCTCTGATTTTTCAGAGTTGTAAAAGAACTAGATGTTCCTGCCCAGTAAGAATTCGCCACGTGGACCCCAAACGCCCGCATCGTCAAGACTTGTGTGGGAGATGCAAAGGCAAACGCCTGTCCTGTGACAGCACTTTCAGCTTTAAATATATCATTTAGTGAATGTAAAAAATGGTTCTGCTGAATGTGTGCTAAGGGAGCAGACAAGTGAGGTTTTTCCCTTGCCCCTTCTGTCTCTCCCTGCTCAAAGTACTTTCTGAGAGGCAATGTATTTGGACAAAGCCTTCAAATAAAAGTATTGCAAAACAATTTATAAATTGCATAAAATCTTGTCTCAAAATAAAGTTTGAGGAGAGCTTGTCTTGTGCTAAGCATCTGAGCCTGTCATCTCTTAGCCTCTGTGATGGTGTAAGGTGGGCCAGGCTGAGCAAGTTTACAAGCACTGGAGAAGTATTGAGAAGGATTCCCAGGCCTGCGTAGGTCTGCAGGTCTTATGTTAATTGAGTTAAAAGCCTTCTAACCATCAAAGTAAGTGCCTCCTGGGGCAGGTAGAGGCAGAGCCATTCCTTGATGGAAGATAACTCGGAGAAAACGGGGCTGCTGGGGTGTAGACAGTGTTGGTGCCTATAGGTTAATTTAGTAGGTGAACTGGGGGAATTAACTAACCTACATTAATCACAATGCCACTAGTGTGGGACGTGAGGCTTGGGAAGTGTAGCTGTGGAAAATTGACGTGGGTGACTTAAACTCATCAAGTAGACTTAAGGTAGTAACTTTTTAAAAAAGTTTGGTTTTTTTATTGCGGTACTGGGGATCAAACTCAGGATCTTGTGCTTGTGAGGGGAGGCATGGTGCCAGTGGGCTAAATCCCCAGCCCTAAAAAGTTTGTTTTTAAAAAGCACTGTAAAGATTGAGTTAGACACAGATGTTAGCCTTCATTGTTCTTATTAACTTGTAGTCGGAGCCTCTTTCAGACAGTACCCAATAGTTTTCCTAAATGGGTTCCTTGAAGATAGACCCTACAGCCAGACTTTCCTAGACATAGGTGGTACTTTGTCTAGAGCCTGAGGGGCTTTGAATAGAACTGGGGGTATTGGTCTACAGAAACCTCACAGTTGGAGCCAGGTGCTAATTGTGTCACTTTCCACTATTCTGAATGTCCCTCTTGCCTTACTGAGAAGGGCAGTAGAAGTCAGTCTGTTAACATCTTGGACACTGGTATGTGTTCAGTGGGGCTAAAAGCCTAAAGTGGGCTTGAGGTCTGTCTGTTCCTGTGAACCTAAATGGTGCCTGCCAAAGTACACAGTCCTAGGCCCCTATCCCTACTGTATCACTTCTGAGATATCCTACAAGCGCCGAAGTGCTGCTGCTGGAAATGAAACCATGAGCCCACTTGCTTGGTGAGCTTCTTGCCAAGTATAGAAAATAAGCGCAATGCAGCCTCCACCCGTCTGGAGCTTTAGGTACAAGGGACCTGGCTGGAAGATAGAGGATCCCATGTGTGATGAAGCACTGCTTGGTTAAGTGCCTGTAATAAACAGTGGGTCTGACTTGGGAAGGCCCAGTTAAAGGACTGGCACTTCAACTGACCTGAAGTTTGAGTTAGGCAAAGAGGAAGGATGAATTTTTCATGCTAAGGCAACATGTCCAAAGGGTCTGGTGGTAGAGGAAATCAGAAAGCAGCCATGGTGGTAGGAATACTCTTGAGGACACAGTAGCAGGTGAAACTAGCAGGGCCAGATTAGGATTTATCAGGCCCTGCCCAGGACTGGTCTTTATCAGTGAGAACCTACTAAGAGTTTTTCAAGGTATGATAGGGATAGTGGGTCAGGGTGACAGTCACTTTGCCATTAATCCTCCTCAGGATTCTCCCTCCCACTTCAAACACTTACCCCATTGTTCTTGCCACTTTCTGAAGCCCTCTTTTGTCCCTCTTTGCACTGTCATGGCTACCTCAGTATCTCTAATTGATTCAAAGTATGTTTTCTGTCATTTTGTCTTTGGGGAATTAAAAACAATGGAATAAGCATTTGAAGTGAGGGTGGATTTTGAGAGGGATTAATTGCAATGTGTTTTACTGAAATACAATTTTTAATTTTAAACATTTACCATATATTTGGATCACCCCTTGCAACATATGGTCAATGAGCATTTGCTGAGTAAATGAATGTGTAAACTATAGAAATCTATCTTCAAGCCTGAAGACAAGCTGTCTACTAAAGTGGGCAAATTAGAATATTTTTTAATGTATGTCACTGGTTTTGCTAGCACAGCAGCTATTTTACAGTTGAGGAAAGCAGAGGTCAGACATGTATGGTTAGTGGGCATTGGAACACTGAATGAAATGGCACAAAAACATGTCTTGGGCCCGGGATTTAGCTCAGTGGTTTTGCCTCCTGCTGTACAAGTGCAAGGACCTGAGTTCGATCCCCGGTACCAAAAAACCCCACCAAAAACAAAAAAACATGTCTTGGCTTATGACATTTTTGAAATGAGAAGGCACTGCCAAACTTCTGCATACAATGCAAAATGAGAATCCATTTTAAGGCCTAGGAGAAGCTGGAAGGAAACATTCCAAAATATTATCTCTGGGAGTCAAGAGAATTGATTGCAGTTTTCTTCATATTTCCTACATGTTTAATCATGAGCAGTGTAGTGGAACGTGACTAATTCCAGCACTCTGGAAGGCTGAGGCAGGAGGATCAAAAATTCAAGCCCAGTCTGGGCAATTCAGTGACTTAGTGACAGTCTCAGAAAGAAAGAAAAAAAAGCCTAGGGCTCAGTGCAAAGGCCCTGGTTACAACCCCTACTATTGCCCACCCCCAAGAAAAAGTGATCATGTTACTGTTGAAAATTAGGAATGCTATAAAATGTACTCTAGGTGGCATGTGCCTCCAGCTGTTTGGAAGGCTGAGGCAGGAGGATGGCACCCTGGAGCTCAGCCTGGGCAACTTAGCAAGACCCTATTTCAGAATAATAAAAAGGGGTGGGGATGTAGCCAGTGTACTCTGGGTTCAATCTTCAGTATCATTAAAGAAGATATTCTCTCCCTAGTGGTTCTCCTATTTTATTCCATTTAGGTTTTGCTGGTGTGGTATACCAACGATCGTCATTCATAGACCTCATCGAGGGACTCTTACTTTGGCTTCGCTGAGCCTTTGCCACGAGAACATGTAATGGTTTCCTCAGTTTAGGTGAGTTGGGGATCATAACCACACCTTCTATTTACATCACTAAAAGTAGGAAATACAGTGGATCCTCAAGGTACAACTGGCCTGACATATGAACAACTTGGGTTAATGGAATTCATCTGCCTCTTGTTATCTATAGCTACCCAGGTAAATATCCACATCTCAGCTGTACTGACAACTAACCCTTGGAGGCGATCAAGTTTTTAAGTTAAGGATCCATGGTATTCCTAACTTGTGTAAAAATCTTTTTTGGCTTTTGTGAAGCACCATACAAACAGCCAGATTTTTTTTTTGCTATTATTTTACAAAAGACTCACTGTTTAAAATGATAAATGTAGTAGACAAAAGTAAAAGGGCTGTCTGTAGCAAAACTGGGCTCTTAGTGGAATGAAATAAGGTAATTAAGCCCTTGATATTTTGTCAAATACTAGATTCAGAGGAGGAAGAGCAAAGGATGGATTTGAGGAAAATCCAATTGCAAAAAAACCTAGTGAACTTATGTTTGGCTCTTGTTTTTTGAGGTGTACTCATTGTTATTACATTTATTACTAGATTCATTACATATAAATACAAAACAAATTTCAACTGTTCAAAACTTTTGGTTTGGGTAGTCAATTGTTCTTTTTTTGAGGAAAATTATACTTGAAAATTATTCAGATGACATCAGAAAAGTTTCTAAATAATAGTCATTTATCCTTGGTTTTAAAATACCACACAAACCAACAGCTACAATGCTTTTTATTTTTAACAAAAAGGATGTGAGGGTAAGAAAAATAGGGGAGAGTAAGATAGGATATAAAGTGTGATGTGTCTCTGGACACCATCCCTCTGCTGGCCCCACACCCAAAAGTTATTAAATAATTTAAAGAACACCATTTACAGTACCAGAACACCATTAAAATAATTTTTTATAAGGGTCAAAAATTACAGTGATTATGAAGGTGCTGTGACCAGTTATGGAATTTTACAGGAAACATAACTGCAGTGAGCAGTCCAATGGCGGTGTGCACAGTGCCTTCAATTCATGCACTTGAGTGTAGTTACGTTTCCAGCATGTCCACATCCCCAAGAAAAGGCAAAGCTAAGCATTTCATTTCCACACCCCAAACCCTGGAATCACAGAGCCCAATTAAAAAGTCACAGTGGATAAGAGATGCATATAAAAAATACAAGGTGTTCCTTTCAGATCAGAGGAGTTGTGGGACTACATTCTTTTACAAAATGCTATTTAAAAAAGGACAGAGAATGCAGTCTGTGCTGTGCTACAGACCAGACAGTGAATACGTATATGTGAGTCTTCAGGCTTCTTTCATTTCCCCCATCGCCCCAGGTTCCTGTGGCTTGGAACATTAAGTCCTGAATAAACATATAAAAATGCATTTGCGTCTCTTCTCTTGAATTCTGCAGACCCCAGCCTGCAGCCCATATACTGTATTCTACCATCAATGACCACAATTTTTCCTTTAGCTTTGTAGACCTATTCCTGTATAGCAGTGCATGGCACAAATGTACAAGAAAATACTGGTTTTAGTCTATACAGTTTCTATAATAATTATGGAGTAAAATAAGTTAACTTTTCTAATGGGAATAGCTGACGGGCAGCATACATCTTTATTTTACATTTTAAAGTCTCTGCAGGCATCTACTTTGGTTAGTTATCAACAGTTGTAACATAAGCACTGATCAGAGAACTGAGCAGCATACCAATAACGTTAACAGATATATTATTTCTTTTTGAAATACTGGGAAAGCCCAGCTTTAAAATATTATTAAAATGTCCTAACATTTACACACTATGAAGAGTTAGATCTAATAAAATAAAATTTCTTCAAAAATAATCTTGCAGTGCTCTTTTAGGCATGCTCTGAGACGTTATTACCAAACATCCACATGTTGAAAATAGGACTGTCACATATCCATACATCACACACACACACACACACAAAATATTCCTTACACGGACCACCAAACAAAAACACTCCAGACCCTTATCCCATAAGTTGAAAAAAAATCAATGGTTTTTTACAAATAAGTCTTTGTGTGTCTATCTGAATGGATGTTCATGTAGATGACTAAACATCAATTGTTGATTAGGTTGATGACTGCTAGAAATCCAAGCAGC